CAAACTGTAACTTAATTTCAGGATCTAAAGGTTATAATTTCACAGTGAAAGAAACAAGTATCAAAATTTTTAAATGATGAAACATTGGTCAAGATTACATCACAATAGAAAAAAAAACAGGAAAATAATGACCACTAGTTTGTGGCTTTACATAAAAATAATACTGATCACAGCTTCCAATAAATATTTTTCTACTGGTCCTATATGAACAAATCACCGATCTATAGATCACACTTTTCAGCATAAAGCATTATATTATCACAATAAAAATATATCTAAATATCAGGTTAAAATGTCATCTTCTGAGAAATATATCTATTAAAGTGATGACTACTTTAATTTATAAATCTATTATCCAACAAAATCTATATACTTCTTATGAATTATTATGTTCATAAAGATTTGTACAAAATGTATGAATTTATATTTTTAAAACAATTCACCACAAGTAAAATGAAGCTAGTTATTATTATCACAAAAAAACAACTTCTGGGATCAAATACCTGAAGAAGCTAAAATATGCAAATCAAATACTGGGAGAAGCTGACATATGTAAATCACATACTGGGAGAAGCTGACATATGTAAATAAAATACCGTGAGAAGCTGACATATGTAAATCACATACTGGGAGAAGGTGACATATGTAAATCACATACTGGGAGAAGCTAACATATGTATATCAAATACTGGGAGAAGCTGACATATGTAAATCACATACTGGAAGAAGTTAACATATGTACATGAAATACCTTAAGAAGCTGATATATGTACATCAAGTACCTGGAGAAGCTAACATATATGTACATCAAGTACCTGGAGAAGCTAACATATATGTAAATCAAATACCTGGAGAAGCTAACATGTGTACATCAAATACCTGGATAAGCTAGCATATGTACATCAAATACCTGGAGAAGCTAACATATGTAAATCAAATACCTTGACAAGGTAACATATGTACATCAAGTACCTGGAGAAGCTAACATATATGTAAATCAAATACCTTGACTAGGTAACATATGTACATCAAGTACCTGGAGAAGCTAACATATGTACATCAAATACCTGGAGAAGCTAACATATGTAAATCAAATACCTTGACAAGGTAACATATGTACATCAAGTACCTGGAGAAGCTAACATGTGTACATCAAGTACCTGAAAAACCTAACATGTGTACATCAAGTACCTGGAGAAGCTAACATATGTACAATGTGAGAATGTACAGCTACTTTTAAAAATGTCAAAATGGCTTATGAGAAATTATCTGGAAACTACACAACCTGTGTAGTTAAGTGAAGCAGTGAACATCTGTTAGGCAGTTTCTTTGCTAGATATTAAATATCACATTTCCACATTCCCAAGGAATTTAACTTTGCTTGAAGAATTTGATTTTTGTAGTTGGCTTTCCTGGTCAGAAATGCATGGTCCATCCGTATTCCTTTTGTTATGAATGAAAGTGGACATATTGCATGGATTAAATAATATAACAATTCATAAAGAAATGCAACTTTACACGAGGGAATGTAATTTTAATTCATTATTTCTATCCCTGGTGCATGTGTCTGTTATGCTTAACATGAAGATTATCAGTACAAACTATGAAACAACTGTGTAAGTAGCCAGGCCAATCACACCACTGTGAAATACTTGATCTACAGCAGTCATGATCCCTCATTCTTATTTTATACTAAACACAACGTATACCTTGATGAACACTCCTGTTTCTTTGGTAGGATCCCACAGGAACTCACACTTGTTACTTTTCTGGGGGTCATGTACAACTTCATAAATTCCATATGACAATGGAATGTCTGTAAAATACAGGAAGAAAACAACATAATATACTAAGTAAATCTAGTTTTTTATTTATATTAACAAAGGTATTTCACTTTAAAGCACAGCAACAGCAGTTATACTTTATGGAAATATAGTAAGTTAACCACATTATGTATTATAGTTATACACATCATGGTAAATTAAACACATTATGTATTATAGTTATACACATCATGGTAAATTAAACACATTATGTGTTATAGTTATACACATCATGGTAAGTTAACCACATTATGTATTACAGTTTGATGTTATACACATCATGGTAAGTTAACTATATTATGTATTATAGTTTTGATATTATACACATCATGGTAAGTTAACCACATTATGTATTACAGTTTGATGTTATACACATCATGGTAAGTTAACAACATTATGTATTACAGTTTGATGTTATACACATCATGGTAAGTTAACTATATTATGTATTACAGTTTTGATATTATACACATCATGGTAAGTTAACCACATTATGTATTATAGTTTTGATATTATACACATCATGGTAAGTTAACCGCATTATGTATTATAGTTTTGATGTTATATACATCATGGTAAGTTAACCGCATTATGTATTACAGTTTTCATGTTATACACATCATGGTAAGTTAACCACATTATGTATTATAGTTTTGATATTATACACATCATGGTAAGTTAACCACATTATGTATTATAGTTTTGATGTTATACACATCATGGTAAGTTAACCACATTATGTATTATAGTTTTGATGTTATACACATCATGGTCAGTTAACCACATTATGTATTACAGTTTTCATGTTATACACATCATGGTAAGTTAACCACATTATGTATTACAGTTTTCATGTTATACACATCATGGTAAGTTAACCACATTATGTATTATAGTTTTGATGTTATATACATCATGGTAAGTTAACATCATTATGTATTACAGTTTTCATGTTATACATATCATGGTAAGTTAACCACATTATGTATTATAGTTTTGATGTTATACACATCATGGTAAGTTAACCACATTATGTATTACAATTTTCATGTTATACACATCATGGTAAGTTAACCGCATTATGTATTATAGTTATACACATCATGGTAAATTAAACACATTATGTGTTATAGTTATACACATCATGGTAAGTTAACCACATTATGTATTATAGTTATACACATCATGGTAAATTAAACACATTATGTGTTATAGTTATACACATCATGGTAAGTTAACCACATTATGTATTATAGTTTTGATGTTATACACATCATGGTAAGTTAACCACATTATGTATTACAGTTTTCATGTTATACACATCATGGTAAGTTAACCGCATTATGTATTACAGTTTTCATGTTATACACATCATGGTAAGTTAACCAAATTATGTATTACAGTTTTGATGTTATATACATCATGGTAAGTTAACCATATTATGTATTACAGTTTTCATGTTATACACATCATGGTAAGTTAACTGCATTATGTATTATAGTTTTCATGTTATACACATCATGGTAAGTTAACCACATTATGTATTACAGTTTTGATATTATACACATCATGGTAAGTTAACCATATTATGTATTACAGTTTTCATGTTATACACATCACGGTAAGTTAACCGCTTTATGTTTTACAGTTTTCATGTTATACACATCATGGTAAGTTAACCACATTATTAGAAAGTTATTATGAACGATTACATTTGAGCTTGTACGACACCCTCTAGATTAACAATATTTCTAATATTTTGTCCATTTCTTACAATATACTACAAATTAGCATACCTCTCATACTTGAATCTCACAACTTACCCTAAATTAGAAAAATCCTACCGATTTATAAAATATTCTGTTTCTCACAACACACTCCACATTACACAGGTCTTACCTATTTCTAACACTCTCTCTGATGGGCGCTGTTGTTGCCATTGTGTAATTTGCTCCTTTTCTACATACTGAAGTCTCCTTTCATGAAATCCAAATCTTATAATGCTCTAGAGTAAAAGATATTTATTTCTTTAAAATAACATAAAGAATATATAACACACTTAGTCTAAAGCATCTCTTTCAAGGGCTCTGATACAGGTTTGTGAATGAAGAGATAAAAATAAACATGTTGACAACAAATTAAACCCTGCATCAAATGACAACCATAACTAACATATTTAATCTTGAGACATTTATTAAATCCTGGATCCAATATCACTAAAAATTAGTGATTTAGTTTCTCTCTTAGTTTCTCCATATAAGGCAGAATGTGAAAAGGAATTTAGCAATTTTCATAATATTAAAACAGGGACAAGAATATCTCTAAATCAGGAAACTTTGTCTGTTCTAGTAAAAATCAAGATAGATGGGCTAACACTAGAATAGGTTAAACAGTGGCAAAAAGAACAAACCACACCAAATGTCACACATGCTGGGGTCACAGCTAGCAAACAGTTTACATCTGATGAGAATGAATCAGAGTAAATGGTTGTAAACTGTAAGTTATATAACAAAATGAGTTATAGTTAAGACTAAAATGCTCAAGATTTTATAAGTATTATAGTTGCATTAAAATGAAGATTAAGTTAAGAAAAAATGTACATGGTGAAACATTGTTGACTAGATTGAAGCGTTCAAGGTTTAACAGTTATTCACAATACTATTTATATAGACTAAACTGAAGTGTTCAAGGTTTAATAGTTATTCACAATACTATTTATATATACTAAACTGAAGTGTTCAAGGTTTAATAGTTATTTACAACAATATTTATATAGACTAGACTGAAGTGTTCAAGGTTTAATAGTTATTCACAATACTATTTATATAGATTAAACTGAAGTGTTCAAGGTTTAATAGTTATTCACAATACTATTTATATAGATTAAACTGAAGTGTTCAAGGTTTAATAGTTATTTACAATACTATTTATATAGATTAAACTGAAGTGTTCAAGGTTTAATAGTTATTTACAATACTATTTATATATACTAAACTGAAGTGTTCAAGGTTTAATAGTTATTCACAATACTATTTATATATACTAAACTGAAGTGTTCAAGGTTTAATAGTTATTTACAACAATATTTATATAGACTAGACTGAAGTGTTCAAGTTTAAAGTTACTTACAATAATATTTGCATTAAAGTGTTCAAGGTTAAGAAAAAATACAAAGTTTGTTCTCTATCACACATATTCTTTGTTTTAGTCAGTTTCTTAGTATTTTGCTGAATTACTTGACTTGCTTTCTTAAAGTATTTAAAACATTATCACTTACAATGCGATAAATAACTGAAAAATGTAGAACAACTCTGGGCCCTACAGGACAAGATCATATATAAAATAAACTTTAAAGTGATGTGTTCAGCTACAAAGAGAAATTTTCTTCACTGGCATAAAACTTTTTCAAAACAATCTGAAACAGAAAATTGTAGACTAGACAAGCTCCTCAATCAAAACTAACTTTTAGACATATATTAATATAGATTTATGTGCCTAGATTTAAGTTAGGTGTTAACTGTTACAATGTGACAAGCAGATTTACACTATGGTTTCACAAAACCTTTCTTTCTACCGCGGTTTGTTTGTAGTTAAGCACAAAGCTGTACAATGGATTATCTATGCTCCGCCCACCACGAGTATCGAAACCTGGTTTCTAGCAGTTTAAGTCCACAGACATTCAGCTGTGCTGCTGGGAGGTTAGATATCTTTACTGTTAATTTCTCTTTAAATTATCATGAAATCTGGTTCTTTTTATTAGTAGAAGTGTTCTGGAATGCTAAGGTTTATAATAAACTCACTTTTACAAAACCTATTTATTTTCATATTTACTTATTTCCAGCACTTCTGTTCTCAGTAAGATGCTAAAAGGATAAGCACATGACTAGATCCGTCAAATTTCTCTTTCACCTACTTGCTTATTTAGAATATTATTTACATATAAAAAATGTTACCTTTAACAACTTTTCTCGCATTTCTGTCAGATCTCCTAACTTTTTCAGTTTAATTTCATATGACTGCCCTGTAAAAAAATTAGATACATTTATAAAATAAGTTTATTTAAGAAATTTTATTAATCTTATTACATACATTTTAGCCCAAAGGTAAAGGTTTTTCTTGCAACTCCATTATATGATTTAAATGGTGACTTTGATGCTTCAATCCTTTTAACTTAAGTATAACACACCTTGGTTAAGATAGGTCATTGTTTCCTCATGCATTTTAGTTGCCAGAGCAGTAGCAGCTCCTAATATGTATTGAAAGTCTGTATTACGAAGCACAGGAAAAACAAGAGATGAACTGTTTTCTTGTGTTGACACCTGGTTCTGTAGGGTTGAGGGAGACACTAAGGACAGTTGGATCATGTGAGTGAGGACAGAAGTGTCAACAGTAGTAGAAGAAGATACTGCTGCCCGAAGATCAGGGAATGAAGAGCTGTGTCGATACCTTAAGTACACATTCAGGATTAATTACAAAGGATACCAATTTTTTTTTTCATAAAATAGAATGAGAGTAAGACAAAATTGTTAAGTATTTTTGTATAAATAAAATATCGGCACAGAAACATAATTTACAATATACAGGAGTTAACACACTGAAGGAACTGATATAGGAAACTTAGATCTTAAAGTAAACTTCACAATATGGAGGAAATAATATTTTATAAAGATGTAAGTTTGATCAAAAGAAAAGTCATTACAATAAAAACTTAACAAAGTAAGATAAGTGGTAATTTTTGTTAAGAGGAATATTACTAAAAAACAAAATAAGATAACCTGTAATTTGTTTTCAAAGGAATATCACCCAAATAAGAAAATGAGCAAATTAAGAAGAGCTGTATTGATCATCCAAAGCAATATCACTAAAATACTTAAAAATTAACATAGTGACAAAACCTGTAAAGTTCATTCATCACTAAAACAGCTATCAGTAGAAAGGCTGAGAAAACAATCTTGTATATCTTTTGAAATGGTGACCTTTTTATCTCTAACAACCAGAAGTGAGAAGTGTGATTAATACCAGATATTTTTATCCAGTTATTATGCATCAAGAAACATCTACAGGTGGATAGATAATGACATAACTACCTCTTCCCAAACCTTTGGACAGATAATGACATGACTATATCTTCCCAAACCTTTGGACAGATAATGACATGACTCTATCTTCCCAAACCTTTGGACAGATAATGACATGACTATATCTTCCCAAACCTTTGGACAGATAATGACATGACTATATCTTCCCAAACCTTTGGAGAGATAATGACATGACTATATCTTCCCAAACCTTTGGAGAGATAATGACATGACTATATCTTCCCAAACCTTTGGAGAGATAATGACATGACTATATCTTCCCAAACCTTTGGAGAGATAATGACATGACTATATCTTCCCAAACCTTTGGACAGATAATGACATGACTATATCTTCCTAAACCTTTGGATAGATAATGACATCACTATACCTTCCCAAACCTTTGAATAGATAATGACATCACTATTTTTTCCCAAACCTTTGGACAGATAGTGACATAACTATATCTTCCCAAATCTTTTCAGTCTGTGGGATAAAAATGAACGAAAGAAGAGAAACTGTAAAGCTTTCAACTGTGACAGGAAAGTCCATTAAAATCATACATAAAGCTAAGTAATACTAGCATGTATAAATAACAATACAGAGCAACTTATGTTTGCTGTTAAACACAAAGTTACACAATGAGCTATTTGTGCTGTGCCCAATACAGATATCAAAACCTGATTCTTAGCACTGTAAATCCAGAGATTTGATGCTGAGCCATTGGTAGACTGCAGCTTATGTATAACAGAAAAGGAAGTGTTAGAGCAACTTGTGTAGAATTTTAATATTCTAAGAGCTTTTCATGTAGATTTAAGAAACAGTCAATTTTTACTAACTTAGAACCTAAATTAAATACAAGAAAAAAAAGAGGTTCCAATTTTTCTACCATTAGTTACTGAAAAATTGAAGCTGACTTACATGAGCCTAAAAATATCATTTTCTTGTCACCTTAATGTTCAAATCTAGTAATTAAGTCCAGGTTTCAGTATCTATTGCACCCAATTGTACAAATGTCTTTATGGACTGGGTTCACAGGTGCTTTTAGAGATTTCTGGATGCCAAAAAACAAATCCAAGATGGCCATCATAAACCTCAAAATGTCATTCTCTTGATGACAAAACTATTTATTTACACAAATTTCATTACTAAGGTTAAGTTTTATTATTTATTGGACCAAATTATACATTGATGTTACAATTATGGGTTCACAAGTACTTTTAGGATTTTTCTTTGCATGCAAAATCCAAGATAGCCACCACAAACACTGATATGACAATAGATCAAAGATGATATATTAAAAAGCACTTAACAGCTAGTCCAAGATGACCACTGTATTTTTAGAACTAAAAAACAGGCCTTGTTTTGTAGCCACTGAAACACTATATGATCTTGATTTAAAGTAGCTGAATAACAATGTTTTTGACATGTGGCATTTTTTGGTTTTAAGTTTATCTGAAGTGAAGTCTGACTGAGGGTTATGTTCATAGTTTGCTTGTAAATCAACTGCCTTCAGAAAGCTGTTGATTGTAACTGTTCAATTGAGGTTTTTGTAATGGCTTTTTTTTTTAATATTTTGACACATGGTACTTAACTTGAAGGTAATCATGATCCATCCTCTCTTCACAGGATTTTTCTTTGCATCTAAAATTCTCTTTTAGAGGATGGAACAGCCGAGATGGACCAATAGGTCCCATGTTGTCCCAAAACGTTATGTTATGTTAAAAGCATCTGTGAACCCTGAGTGCAAAGATACTTATACAACTGAGCAGTTGGTACAAAACATAGTCTTAGCTATCATATTTTACTACTCAATACATTTTGGTGATGAGATAATGATTTTTCTGGTGTTCTGTCAACAATCTTGGATTTTTCATTAAATAATTCAGAAAACATTGGAGACTCATCTTTTTATATAATTTAGGGTCTAAATCAATCAAAACATCAATGTTTTGAAAATCTATAATTAAAGCTCATGGAATTGTATGCATGCATACACTAAACATACCACTCAAAATACATGATCTCTGTTTATCAAATAGCATGTTGAAAGTTAATGATGGGAATTCATTTCAGTTTTCAGCTACTAAAAAACAACCTGGTAGCATCTGGTTGTAAACTATCTTCTGGTTCTCGGTCAGTACTGACACAAAAACGTTTAGTCGTGCTGAATGTGTCATCGTCATCATCGTCATTCAAGAGAGGCAATCTGTTTTTTTTCCCTTGAAGCACCACTTGAGATGGTCGAAGCATTTCTTCACTGCTTTGACTTTGATTCTCACCATTATCATTGGAAGTGTCACTATGCAGATTAACAAACATTAATGACACAAACAACAGAATTCTTCACAGAAACTATACTTTACTTGAGAAATCAATGTTTCTTCCATACAAAATGTATTCTTAAGACCTCTTTTATCTTACAGTTAACCTGTTATTTGAATTTTAGCTCACTATACTACATGTTGATTTTATGCTGTAACTAAGTCTTGTGAACCTTAACTGGTCAAGAAAATGAGTCATTGTAACTACACATAAAATGACTTTTCTCATCTTTGAAGTGTAGTAACAGAAGAGAACATAACTATTGTTTTACATATCTTCTAACTTTATATATGTAAGTGAGTGTAAGTCAAACTTGACAAAAGAAACTGGACTACATAACAAGCTTAACAATATGACTGGTGAAAGCCTTCTCACACATTATTTTCATATATTAGATCCATATGAATAAAGTAATATCCATGTTGAAAGTTATAAAAGGACTACAGTCATAATATATAATACACTGTCACATCAAAAATTAATGGAACACTACAATCATATGTCATCAGGTGCAACAAACAACAATAGAGGCCTAATTATTTACTTGTTAAACATAAAGCAGCATATCAATATTATAAGATAAGGTTGTCTTTGATAGGCTGTTTAGGCAGAGTATTCATAATGAATCTAAATTTCAAATGGACAGCAACTGCCTGTTGTAGAAACCTACAAGCGTAGATCTTTCGAAAGTCTTCCGCCTTTCGTCTCCAGGCAGTTGCTGTCCATTTGAAACTTGGATTCATTAAGAATTAAGTTGTTGGAATTTTAACATGTGTAATAACAACCTAAGGTACAAAATATCCAAGTCCTGACAGCCTTGTACAGAAATTGATTTTACTAGCTCCACAACTTTTGTTTTAAATGTAGATTTGAAGATTATATGATGTAGGCATATTAAATAGGACAGAACTAGTGTCTTTTTAACTTTTAACTCTATAAACAAGCATGCCTTATTATTATTTCAATCAGATCACTGTTTACAATGATTATATGTTTTCTTTATGAATTCAAGATTGCACAAAGCTATGTCCTTAATCACTGAGACTCTCTACATACCATCCTGAAGCTTCTAAACGATCTAAACCAATAAGGCTCTTACCTTCATAAGACCAAAATTAGGAGAGAGTGAAGCAGCCTTTCATACACATGAACATCAGGAGAGAGAGAGAAGCAGCCTTTCATACACATTAACATCAGGAGAGAGAGAAGCAGCCTTTCATACACATGAACATCAGGAGAGAGAGAAGCAGCCTTTCATACACATGAACATCAGGAGAGAGTGAAGCAGCCTTTCACACACATTAACACCAGTAGAAAGTGAAGCAGCCTTTCATACACATTAACATCAGGAGAGAGTGAAGCAACCTTTCATACACATTAACATCAGGAGAGAGTGAAGCAGCCTTTCATACACATTAACATCAGGAGAGAGTGAAGCAGCCTTTCATACACATTAACATCAGGAGAGAGTGAAGCAGCCTTTCATACACATTAACATTAG